TTATATATTAGAAAAATAAAAAATACAAAATTGCTTATATAATAATTATTAGCAAAGAGATTGATATTCTAAAATAAGAAAAATACTAGAATCAAATAATATAATTCAAATCAAGTCAATTCAGATATGATCTGAGTTAATTTGATCTAATTTGTAAGTTATTTTTATATGTGAAAGAAAAAATTTTATTTATTATAAGAATATAGTAAATATATTAATAAATATTATTTATTGCAAGATAGCATTACTTTTTTAAGAGAGAAAAGAAAGAAAAAAGAGAAGGAATAGGGAACTAAGATTATTAAGAATATATTTTTGATGTTAAATATAAGCTATAAGTATTATAATAACTTATTATTTCTAATATCATATATTCTTTATAAGTGTTATAATAATAACACAAAAAAAACTAATTCTATATATACTTGTCATTTCTAATATTATATACTCTTTATTTTATTTCTCTATCACATACTTATTTAATATATATATTCAATATTTCTATAATTTTTTATTTATTTTTTTTCTAGTTTAGTTTACTGACTTTCTCATTTTACTACTTTATATTTATTTATTATTTTTATTTAAGTTCCCTAATATTTTTACTTTAATTATATTATAAGTGATTAATCAAAAATATATAAAGTTATTTAATATTGATATGCTATTTGAGATCTCAAAAAAAGAATTCTGTGAGAATATATAGCTACTTATTTCCAATATATAAATATGATATAATAGTTAGAAGTATATTAATGGATTATCTATATCTGTTATTTTACAAAATATAATGAATTGAGTATATATAAAGAAGATATTTCTATAGAAAAACAAAAAAAATAAGTAAGTATAATTCTAATAAATGCAATGTAAAAATTAAGATAGTACACATTACTACTCTTTAAATAGTTAAAATTAAGTATTTTAAAAATATATCAAATCATACATATTCAATTATAATAATAATAAGATTAAGTAATCTGAAATTATTAGAAAATTAATAGCTAATGAAGCAAGCAAATTATATACTTCACCTGCTATTATAGTTATAGTTAAAGAGATTATGAATAAAAAAGATCTTGATATTATAGTTCAAAATCTATATAAAACTAAAGTTACAAATATCTAATAAAAGTTATGTAGATTGCTAATAACTCATCTTATTAGTAAATATGATCTAGAAGCTAATATTAAAAATATGCTTAATTTTTTAATAAGCAAGAATTATTGAGTTAAATGCTTCTCAATACAAAATAATATATATACAGATATATATAATATTATGCAAATATTATCTTAAGATTTTATTTTTGTGAATTCTAGGCAGTTGAAAAAATTATGACTTTTTGGGTGATTAATACTCATAAACTTTATATATAATATCAATAAATATTCATAGTACCTCTTTATACTATATATTTATAATGATCATAAATACTTAGAATATTAATACTTATTTTCTTATAAATAATAAAGATAATAGTATAATTACTAAAGTACTAAAGATAATTTGTAAACTTGCATCTCATTAGTATATTTAATACATATTTTCTGATCAAAGTAATATAGAGATCAATAGTATTATGAATGATTTCCTAAAAATTATATGTAATAAATAAAACTGTGATATAATTTTTTATATTATATATATAATATATATATGACTGTACAAGATTTATCATCTAGTAATACATAATTAATTAGCCTTGATTATATATAAATAAATAAGAATTAGTTATAAAAAGATTATTTATAATATTACTATCACTTGTTCTATATCTAATATTATTAATTATATTAAGTGAAATTACATCAGAAATATAAAAAAATAGATATTTTGGACATGATAGCATTTGTTTTTCCTATTGCAAGTTATCTTAACTAATCTATTAGAGTTTTTCTATAGCAAGCTTAAAAGAATAATAGCTAAAGAATTTGATCTTATAGGTATTATACTTATTTCATAACATTTTTTATTGCAATTCTCTACTCATCAAATACTTGCATTATATTAGGAGTATATTATAAGATTACTGATCTTGATAGTAAAAGATAACTTAACTTTGAAAAGACTATCTTCAATTTCCATTAAAAATAAATTTCTATAACTAATCTTGATAATAAGATTCTAGAAGAAGTTTACAAATTTCTCTATTCTATTCAAAAGCTGATTGCAGATGAAACTATTATTATAAGTATAAGAATTATAAAAGAAAAGCTGCTATCAAATCTAATATCATCAGCATGCTCTTATGTATTCTTTCATAACTATCTACTTTCTTGCTGATATATCCTCTATGAGCATCTTTTCGATTCTAATAAGTTACTAATAATTGATATTTAAGAGAAATTTTAATAAATATTCATAAAGACTGATTTTAAAATATATAAGTATTATAAAATGATCAAAATATTTGAGCTTATTCAGACTCAAGTGAAGAGAGAAATGGAAAAATAAAGATTATAAATAGATAAGCTTTTAGAAAGAGTGTGAAATAAGTATTGGAAAATTAAGAATAAAAATTATAATAATATTACTAAAGTATTTGTTATATATTTGAATAAGTTATTGGATCTAACTCTTAAAATTATAGTATAATAATTTATTATTTTACAAGTCAATTAATTTTATAATTATGTTTATTACTATTATTTTTTATAAAAAAATAAATATACTTTATTCTGATTATTATGAGTTTTATTTTTAATTATTAATTAATCAATATTATAATTATCTATTAATTAAAATTATTTAACCAATTATTACTTATCATATATATTTTTTATATAATTTAAATTCAGATTGAATTCAAAATCACATGATACTATTTGGCTTTAATGAATCTCTGAAATAGATATATGTGATTTATAAATATAAATTTAAAGTTTTAACTATTCAATAAGATCTAATTCTTAAAAATACTTAAGAATAACTATATTTAGATCTTCATAATATCAAATATATCTTAAAACAATCCAGTTTTCTTTGTACAATTCATTCCTGAATTAATCCTGTACTTGCTATTTGATAAAATTATTAGAATCTCCTCTATAAAAGAATTCATAATATTTTTCATACTATTATCTCTGTACTTCTATAGCAAAATCATAATTATAATAAGGAATATCAAGTTGCAATTCTAATTTATATTTTGGTATTTTTAAGAAATTAGGCTAGTGATTCTCTAATTATAAATCAAGATATTTTGATATAATTTCATGATAAAGTAATTAAAAATTATTATAATTTAAAAAAAATTAAATAAAAAATTCTTTTATAGAATAATAATTTTATTAAAAAATTAAAAAATTATAAGAGAATGCTATAAATATTTATTTTTATATAATAAATATTAAATTTTTAATTATAATTAGTAATAAATTTATTTTAATAAAATTATAACTTAAATAAAAAATAATAAATATATAAAAGAAATTTTTATTAAATATTATTTTTGAGTTATTATATATAAGTATTAATTATTATTATATAAAAAAATAAAAAATTTAATTAATATAAAAATAATATTTATAAATATAATATATTAAGTATTTTTCAAATTATAATTATAATAATTCTTATTTTTCTTGATATTTTAATAAATAATAACTTAAAATTATAAAAATTTATAAAAATATTTTTTATATTTTTAAATATTATTTAATTATAATAAATTTTAATAATATAATATTATTTCTTAAAATTTTATATTAAAAATATTAAATTAAAGCTTTAAAATAATAAAATTATATAAAATTATTTAAAATAATAAGTAATTTTAAAAATAATTTTAAAATTTAAAAATATATTTTATTAAATATTTTAATAAAATTTAAATTTTATTATATAATAATAATTAATATAATACTTTAATTATAATTAGTAAAATATATTTTTCTTTATATATAAAAGTTTTTAATTTTATTAGCAAATATTTTTTATTTTTAACTCAAAAATTAACTAAAATTTACTAGTTTAATATATATTTTTTTAGATTTTTCAGATTTTTTACTGGTAATTTATATATATTATATATGAAATTAATTAATTTTTACTAATTATTAATTAATAAAAAATTAATTATTTTTTGAGTTAAAAATAAAAAATATTTGTTAATAAAATTAAAAACTTTAATATATAAAGAAAAATATATATTTTATTAATTATAATTAATAAAAATTAAAATATTATATTATTTTTGATTATTATTATATTTCTTAAAATATTTATTAAAATAAAGTATTATTTTACTAATATTTATTAAATAAACTAAATTGAAAAATTTTTAAATTATAAAAATTTTTATATATTTTAAATATATTTTCTTAAAATTATTTTTAAAATTACTTATTAATTATTATTTTTAAATGATTTTTAAATATTTTTATTATTTTAAAACTTTAATTTAATACTTTTAATATAAAATTTCAAGAAATAATACTATTTTATTAAAATTTATATAATATTATTAATATTATTATAAATTTTCATGATTTTTATTAATATAAATATAAAATTAAATTATATAATGAATAAAAATTCATAATAAAAAATTATCTTGATAATAAAATAAGAACTTATTTTCTATATTAACCTAAAATGAAATAATAATTTAAATAAAAATTAAATAGATAAAGTTAATAAATAATATAAAATATAAATATAATTTATATTTTTAGGAGTGATATTTCAATATAAGAGCTAGAGCTCATAAATTTTCTCATTTATTTTTTTATCATTTATAATTAAATCAATAAATAGTGAATTTTTAAATATTTTACTAAATATGTAAATTATTATCATGCATGCAGATTAAATTAATATTAATATTAATATTAATAACATTAGTAATATTACAAGAATTTTCTAAAATAATCCAAGCATAGCTCTCGAGCCGGCCGAGAAAATTTTCTATCCATTCAACCAAATCACACGTCAAAGTAAATAAATAATTGCAGTCTATGTATGTATTGTACTAAATTTGTCTAATAAATAATATTCACACCGTATGATCCTCATATCCGAATCCTGGATTTCTAAGACGTACTTTCCTGCACAAAATATATCGTCCCAACTATCAAAAACAAATAACTCGATTTAAAAATATGTATATCAGACAGAATGATTAAAAAATTTAAAATCATACATACCAACACAAAAGCACGCACAATTCTCCTTAACCGTCTCCGCCAAGGATTAGTATAATAAGGTCTTCGCCATGGATTCTCATCATCCTCGTCTTCATAATGACCGCTGTAATATTTACGTTGTTGTTGATGATTGAGATATTCCATCGTCGACATATCGTTAATATCTTAAAATCCCAACGTGAAAGCAATAAACAAATTTAATAATCATTGCAAGGATAGAAGGCCACTAAAAAAATAGTAATTTTATACTTACAAAGTTTAAAATGGAAAAAACATAAGTATAAAAATAATACGGCAGTTCCAAGACTTAACAGTAATAGTGATAAATTAATGAATAGTCCTACAGCCAGTACATATGATGTTGTAGGCGGAAATATTTCATATACTAGATATAATTGGAATAAGCGTTTGTTATTTTATTCTTTAAATTTATTTGCAATTATCCTATCAAAAATTCTAACTTACATTTCGTCATATATTGTTCTCTTTCCGAGAAATAAATCGCTAAAGCTTGAGCATTCCTCCAGAAACTCAGAATCGTACCGATAAAACCAGAAATTAAAAACGTTATAAAAGTTCTAACCAAAGGTATAAGAATATAAGAAAGTTTGAACGGATAGATGCGCTAGTTAAAATTTTGAAAATGAGATTAAAATTTCTACCGATAATTGGACCCCGCTATGCAACAGTTTAACCACCGACAATGATGATCAAATTTCGCGACACACTAAAAAAAATCAAAAGTTTAATTATAACCAGAATATACAGATGGTCATCTCATGTAGTTAATTATTCGTACCTTATTACATAATTTACAATGACGGGTGGTATTAGCCCTATATAATTCTATTAGAATTAAATAAAATAAAATTTTGCTAAAATGAGGAAATCCAGGGTTTCATACAATTCTTCAAATACTCACACTTCAACTAGACAAATATTACACCAGCCATCAACCACCACCTGAATTCCGATTATTCTCCGATATAACATGTCCCTTTTCACATTTTTTTCTTTGACTTTTGAATCTTCTGTCTCTGTCAATGAGCATTTAATGCTCGAAATCGGAACCACAACAGCGATTGATAACATAATCGCGTCCCATATTCGTTGCTGAGTAATTTTGTATTCGTGTTTCATTATTGAATAATAAACTTCTTGTTCTTCTTCCGCAAATGGCATAGCGAAAAAGTAGTAACCAAAAGTTATGACGAAATAAATTATCCATTGTAGTATAAACCAAATATCAAGAGGTGTTTGAAAGCCGTGTATTCGACGCCATAGGTTCGAAGTATGTTCATGATGCGTTTCTACAGACACAAAACAGCACTTTCCAGTAAGGGTAGATCCAGAAAAGATTGCGCCTGTCTTTGAAGAATGCGAAAGTTTTGAATATCTTGGCGAAGACGAAGTAGTTATACTAGGGAGTACATTAGAAAATAGACGAGAGGCAACCATGGGTTAAATTGCCGAAAGTAATAACTCTTTTAAATATTAGCTCGTAAAGTTGCTGTTGCAAGTTATTAGCAAAGTTAAAGTTAAGCTACTAGGTTATTTCAGGTTACCGAAGGGAACATAAAAAGCACAAAAAAACCAATCAGTTATCCTTCTATAGATCAATCGCATAACGATTGTTGACAAAAGATCTTCACGATTACACAACTCCACATTACTCTTTTTGAACTTTATCCTCTCCTGCGAAATGAAGAAGAAGGTAATGATTCTTGTATACCTTATGAATTTCTGATGAATAAATTTAAATTTCGTTATATAACCTTCGTACTAATACAGGTTCTATTAATGGGCAAAAGTGGGTCTGGAAAGACCTCTATGCGAAGTATTATCTTTTCAAATTATATTGCTCGAGATACCAGGCGCTTAGGGGCAACAAGTAAGATAGTATTTGCATCTCAGCTTGTGTCTTAAATATTCTCTTTTTCCTTATATAACCTTCCTTATAAATTGACAATAGTTGACGTAGAACACTCGCACGTTCGCTTCCTTGGTAACCTAGTTCTAAACCTTTGGGACTGTGGTGGGTGAGTAAAAGTTCCGTATCCAAACTAATAAATAACCATTAGAATTCTTTACAATTTCTACCAATAAATTGATCATTTTTCTTTTTCGAATTCACAGACAGGAAGCATTCATGGAAAATTATTTTGCCGCGCAAAGGGATCACATCTTTCGAAATGTTGAAGTATTAATCTACGTGTTTGATGTAGAATCGCGAGAGATCGAAAGAGATATGCATTATTATCAAGATTGTCTTGAAGCGATCTTGGCGAATTCAAAGGACGCAAAGATCTTTTGTTTGATACATAAAATGGATTTAGTACAGGAAGAAGTTCGAGCAAATGTACTGATTGTTGTTTGCTATTAGATTAGTATTCTAACAATGAGGTTTTAAAATCAAGCACACATCTAAATTTTTCTTATTTTATTGGTGAAGATATTCAATGAACGATACAACGAGTTAAAAACCAGATCGGAACCACTGAAAATATCAGCGTTTGCCACTTCTATATGGGATGAGACATTATACAAGGTAATAAAAAATTACGTAAGATTCGGATTATTATTAGAACCGATTAACATCATTCTTCAACTTTTTTAAGGCTTGGTCATCAATAGTGTATTCATTAATTCCAAACGTGCGATTGCTCGAAACTCATTTGCAAAATTTTGCAACAATATGTGAAGCGGATGAGGTGGTATTATTTGAGCGAACCACATTCTTGGTGATATCTCATTCCACGAGAATCGAGCATCCGGATATACATCGATTCTCGAAAATCAGCAATTATATTAAACAGTTTAAATTGAGTTGTAGGTGAGTGACTCTAACACCAACATTATCACGAGTTTTGTGTGGAAGATTCACGCATAAATTTTTTTTGTTATTGTCGCAGCAAATCACAAGCTCAGTTTAAAAGCATGGAAATACGTCAAGCGAATTTTGCCGCGTTTTTTGATATATTGACTGCTAATACGTATGTCATGGTTATAATGTCTGATCCTACTGTCGGTAAGTTTCTTTATCTTATCTTATGACAATGTTTTTTTTACTGAATATTACCTAATAAATGTGTATCTTGAACCTAGAATCTGCTGCCACACAAATGAATATAACAGTAGCACGAAAACATTTCGAAAAATTAGAAACGTCCCATATGACACGATAATGATCATCAAAGATCCAATAAAAGAATTAGAAAACAACCCAAGATTCATCCATTTCATATTATTATCATTTAATTATTGTGTATTAATCTTACCAGTTATTAGGCGGAAATCTGAACTTTTTGTACTATATATATATATATATATAATTTGTATTTGCGAGTATACACAAATCAATAAATCATTATAGAGAATTAATTTAATCTGGATGAAATCATATAGTCATGTGATGATTCATAAATAAGTATAACAATAAAAAAAATCAATCAGTTATATATTCGGCATTCAATGGCAAACCAACAAACAAAAGCCACTACAATTTCCTTATTTCGAAATCTACTTCGTGAAGTGAATCGTCAAGTTAATTATAAATTTCTTATATGAATACATTTGTTTGAATCATTATAAAAATTTATTTTTTTCTCTTCAGTTTACGCCAATAAACAAGAACACATTATGGCGTGACGAATTATTTCGAGCATTTCGTGAAAATCAAAATGTCCATGAACGCACAAAAATTACAAGTTTGATACGTGATGCTGAGGATGTGGTAACTTTTTTGAAAAGTAAACGGAAACATGGGGTATATTATGATTACTTTATATTATACATAAACGTACATTACAAATTCATTTTCTAGTTATTATTAACATTTTTAGGAATTACTTAAACTTTATAATCCATCAATTATGCGTCCTAATGAGAAGCATATTGAAATGACGGCAAATCGTGTTGGTCTACAAATGCCTAATTCGTATGACGAAAAGACGCACCAAAATTTAGAATAAACTAACAATTAATGACTCATTTTAAACTGCAGTATATTCTTATTACGCACAAATTGTTTGAATGGTCGACAAATATAATCAACCAATTCAACCATTTTTTTTTGGGAAATAGAAAAATTATTTCTGATCCATATGAATTTTATGTGCTTTGTTTGATCTTGGCGGAATTTGGTCTGCTCTGATCAATTGTATTGAAAGCGTTTTTTACCCCGAATGAAATTCTCTTGGTGAATGGCGACGATTTATAATTTTTTCTAATATACACAACCCAATTTTTCGTATTGATTCTACAGCTTTCTGATTTAGAAAATCTGCTATTTATATTGCATTACTAAACTCATAATTCCGCGAAAACATTTTTAATACTTGAAATCATTTCAGACCAGTTGAAAGATTGTTTAAAATCTTGAAGAAAGGTTTCCATAAGACTTTATTTCTATGTGAAATATTACAGTCCGGTTGGATAGAGAAAATTGAAATATGATCGCATTTTGCAGGAGATTTTAGGCTGCCCTATACAAATAAAACTTTTTTAAGGCATCCTATCGAATTTTTCGAAATTCCCCTTATTACGGTCGATATGCTAACAAAAGATTAGTTATCATCAAATTAAACAAGAAAAACCAGGGTATTATATTGCTAGATACATAGCATAAAGAGACAATATGCAGACGCGGAATTTTAACTTCTTAATTGTAATTAAACTTTTTCGCGTCATTTTTTATCAAAAACCCATATAATCTTAAAAATTCCCTTAATATCATTGAAGGGGATGTGGTGCAGTGGTAGCACGTTCGCTTTGCATGCGAAAGGCCCTGGGATCAAACCCCAGCATCTCCACATAGAAATCTTTTTGCTTTTAAACAAGAATTGATTATTTTTATTATAATATTAGAGATTAGATATTAATGATTACTATTTACATTATTGTTACGATAAGAGATTTTTTATAATTTCTTAAGTCTACGAATAATCGCACTTAACACTCGTGCTTGCCGTTGTTTTTTCTCTATTTCAGTTTGATTATCCAAAGCTCGATCGCAAACACCGTCGGACGGGGCTGCGCTCGTTGCTGCTCTAAGCAAGTGAGCAAAATCAGAATACAAGGTCGCTGGTAAATCAGATTCTTTTGAGGTCAAAGTATCGTTTAATCTAGAGGACTGTTCGAATTTCGCTGCGATTTCTTCTGCTCGTTCGACTACAACCCGAGGCACTCCTGCCATGCTGGCTACATTCATACCATAGGATTTCGGACATACGCCAGGGACTAACTTGTAAAGGAAGGTTACTTCTTTACGATCCTGGTCTACTTGGCAGCTCATATGTTTGAGAGCGATATTAGGATTCTTTGCGAATTCTTGAGTCAGTGTACCGTAATGTGTTGAAAACAAGGCGAGGCAGCCAATATGAGTGGCGAGATAATGAAGCACAGAATAAGCAATCGCGTATCCATCAAATGTCGAGGTTCCACGACCCAATTCGTCAAGAATGACCATTGAGCGTGGAGTGGCCTCGTGAAGGATTTTTGATGTTTCTGTCAATTCAACCATGAACGTGCTTTGACCTGCCATAATATTGTCATTTGCGCCGATACGAGTATAGATTCGATCGAAAGGTGTCAATACACATCGTCTTGCTGGCACGTAGCAACCAAGCTGAGCCATTATAATCGCAACACAATTCTACGATTCAAGAACTTCAAATTAGATTCAACATACTTTAGTTTCTATTAAAGTAAGTAATACTCACTTGGCGCAATAATGTCGATTTACCACCCATATTAGGACCAGTCAAAAGAATAACATTAGGTTCATTGTCTCCCAAATATGTATCGTTAGGAATAAAATCGGTAGCGACTCTAAAAAAGCAATAAATTTAATATATATTCTCTTTCAACAAATTTAAATATCTCATATTAATTATTACCCTGGTACTACACAAGGATGTCTTAAATCTTCAAACTTTAAGAAACTCGGACCTTCCTCAACAAACTCGGGACGACAACAGGGTTCTGAAATACAGAAAAGCCATCTTTTAAATTTTTTCATGATTTATCGAACGAAATATAAGTTCGACATACCACCCAATGCCAAGGAACTTTTAGTTAAACTTAACAGACAGTCTACTTCAGCGACGATTTTGACTGCAACCAACCATTCTTGATAGTGAGCATCAAACTTTTCGTAAAATCGTCCTCGTAAAGATTTTAGAATATTAGCTTGCGTTTCCTGGGCTTCTTGAAGTTCTCTGATAAGTTTTTGCAGAGTTGGATTCCAATAACGATTTACAGTCTAAAATTTATTTCAAAATTAATTTTTTACACGCATTAGGATTTAAATATGCATGTTTAAAACATACCTTTGTTCCCGATAATTTTCTCCAATCGTCGGGCACCTTGACTTTGATGGGAATTTCAATCTGATATATTTCCTTTCCGACATCTTTGTACACAGCCTTTGGTATCCTAATTAAAAGTAGTCGATAATGTTATTTATATGCGAGATTACATTAATTACATAATATTCTATTATGTTTACCCTAATTTTCTTTTTACTTCTGTTAAATGATTTTGCAATTGCTGGTTAATTTTTCTAAGAGTCTCATTTATTTCATCATAGTCGATTTCGATTCCAGGATATGGAATCAAATTACCTATTATCAGATTAGTCGGTTAATAGCGTTATAGGATAAAACGATCGATAGATTATTAATACATGCCACTGGTTGTCGCCTCCTCATAATCAAAGGCACTGTTGAAATAATCAAGCTTTGAATTTAGGTCGGGAACCATCTCAAATAATTGCAACAACCTTTGAGACTTGAAGTCTTTTGTATATTTATTGAATGCTTCAATAGCAGTCTAAAGAAAAAAGAATGAGCCACCATGCAAAATAATAATAATAATAATAATCCATAATTCACGAATTTTACTGACCATTAACTTTCTAAAAGCCGCCAATACAATAAGAAAATTTTTAACGGAGCAAGTTCCAGCGTGAATTCTACTTATTAGACGCTCAAGATCAGGAAATTGCGTAAAGCATTGATGAAATTCATCTTGAAATTCAGGCGCGGCTCTCAATTCTTCTATAGCGTCCAATCTTTCATTGATGGCTTTAGCATTCCTTGAGGGATGACATAGCCATAGCTTGAAAGTTCGTTTACCTTTTCGTGATAGCAAAATTAATAGATTATTAAATGGATTGAAAATTATTTAAAAATAATGTTTCGAGTGTTTACCAAATGGAGTAATACACCGATTTAATAATTTGAAAAGAGTTCCTTCTTCACTTCCATCAAAACTATTTTCAAATACTTCGAGATTTAACAGCGTTTGACCATCCAGAATGAGCGAAGTTGTGTGCCGAATTGGATCATATATATGGAAATTGCCTAGAGATGCTAATTCTAAATCGAGTTTAAGCTATTTTCGAAAAAAAAAAAAGGGAGTTTAGCTTCAATTTATTATAAAGTTTTTAATGAAGATAATTTTAACATACCGAGCGCAAATACCATAAAAGACCTATTTCAAAAATATATTAAATGTTGCGATATAAAATGAAAGTACTAATTCTCATGATTTGAATCTCCTCAAAAGCTTACCACCCAAAGCAGACATCATCAAAGGTTTGTCACAAGCTTCTTTTAACGCTAGAGGATACGATTCTTTGGGTGATGCAAAATTATAGGCATATCAAATATGTGAAATAATTACTATATTTAAACAAAAATTATTTAGTTTTACACACCCATACTCTCATCAGACGCATCATTCATTTCTTCATCGTTATTCCCATCGTTGTTATTTTTACGTTTGTTTGAAAAATAACCAGAAATTCTAATTTCATATAGAGTTGTCTCAGCATTCCAGAATTCATTATCAGGAGCAAGTCCATTCCATATTAAACTCGGTATGGAGCTTTTAAGAATACGATGCGAGCGTTGACTCAATTTTCCCTGACAGACGAAAAACAGGTATTAATTACGATCATTAAATAAACAAAAGACTAGATACGCAAAATTAAAAATCTACCTTTTCAAATACAATTTCACGTGGCTTTAATTGCATTATCAAAGTTTCGAATTTAGTTCGATTAATATCATCCTTAAAGGAGGCGAGGTTGAATTCACCAGTTGCTGTGTCAACAAAGCAAATTCCGAATTCAGGCAACTCATTATCTGACGTAATTTCTTCCTATTTATTATTTAGATAAAATACAATTTAGTATATTGAGAAAAAAGAGAATTTAATATCGAGATTCGATAAGCGAATGTCTATAAACCTTAATCGAGAGACAATAAGTTCCCATATCATTGGTTAAAAGTCCGCCTTCGACGAGGGTACCAGCTGTCAGGATGGATGTTAACTCGCGACGAATAACTTTTTCCTCCTATTAAAAGATAGAATGCAAACATTGGTATGTATTACTAAATATCATCAAAATGCACTATTAAACATAGAATCTCAAAATACCTTGGATTTAGTGGCTTTCTCACGCATCTCTTTACCTAATGCTGTTTCCATTTGATCTACCTTTGCAACTTTGTATCTTTTGCAAATATTAATAGAAAGATTCATCTCGTATACGAAATTAATTGATTTGGGCTTAAATAATTACCCTTTAGCAATGAATTGAGCGGCCCAATGATCGAATGACATTTCAGGCACACCCACCATCCGCATATTTACACGGTCGGTAAGCTTAAGATCAAACTCTGTGTGACCGATATCGGCATCACGTTCATAAAGTTCTAAATAATACACGAAGTTAATATCATTTTTCGAGTTATAAAAGAATGATGCCGAATTATAGATTAAATATAAACTAATAAATACCATAAAATTTGCCTTTTTTAAAAAACACGACCTATTTTTGCAAGAAATAATCAAATATTAGCATTATCTATGAAAATTTTCTATTATGCTTATATTGTTTACCGTATCCCAATGAGCAGACTTAATTTCCCAGAATTGTTTCTCGAAGGGAGTAAATTTTGACCAAGCTGATGGTGGAATGTAAAGTGTACGAGGATCATAATTGGGTGATCCTTCTGGATTTCCTTCTTTATCCTTGACTTCGAGTAACCAACTGTATCGTTCTTCATTTTTCGCCTTAAAATCAGCGGCCCTTTGCTTTAAAGCATAATATTGCATAATAGATCAGCGAATTTAGAATGCTAAATAAGATAAAATACTAGGATCTATACCTTTTTCTTTTCACTCTCAGTGAAAATTGTAGTAGATGAGAAACTAGAGCCGCGGTTTGAAGTAGAACTTGAAGCGAATGCCTATTGATTAATAAAGTTATTTGAATATTTTGAAACGCTAATAGAAAAACTATATTTAAAGATTAGGTAGTTTATACCTTCAATTTACTCGGTGGGACTTTACTCGGTGATACTTTTTTGGTCGATTTTCTTTTGGACGAAAATATTTCATCATCATCGTCGTCAACAACAAAGTTATCATCGTCTATCTTTTCGTCATCAACTTCGTTCGACTCATCTAATTCTAAAAAAACATCAAGTTGTAATCAAGATATAATGAGTTTATAATATAAACCATTTTAATGCGTTTTTATCGAAGGCTAACCCCAATCATTGTCCTCTGAATCGTAATTAAGTTTACGTCTTGGTTTTTTTTGTAACGGAAGTTTTTCTATCAAAATAAAAAATATATAAGAAAAACAATATAAAGATGAAATTTTCGTCGAATTAGATATAGACGCGGACTTGGCGATTCAGCAAAGTCAACTTTATTGGTATCTTGTTTTTCCTCATCTTCCGATTCGATAAGGATCTTTCGCTTGCCACCAAGGCGCTATTATACAAAACGTATGGAGATTCACACAATTAAAGTTTGACTACACTTTTAAATCGAGATCTCTAAAGTTAATTATCCACGAAGTTATTAATTTACCGTGCTTCTTCGGCTAAAAGTTATGGTTTCTTCTTCCTCTTTATCCTCGGTATCAACAGGCAAACTTTTCTCATGCTCAGCAAATGCATCTTTTACAGTGCTCTCCTTAGTAGGGGTAACAAATTTATCGCGCCCATTATAGTTCTCTTTTATGGTGTCCTTAGGAGGCGTTTTAAGGCCTGGCGGAGCAAGAGAGCTTTCCTCGACATCATGGTCCTTACTAGGAGTAGGTAGTCCACCTTTTGTCAGGAACGAAAGAATGGATTTTTGACTTTTGGATACATCGACGTTACGTCCTTTCTTTGTTCCTTGTGCATTGTTAAACGACGCGTTATTCGAATGCGACTGAGCATTTGTTTCGCTTTTTAAAGGCAACATCTTTAAAAATAGTTAATATAACACAGTATTGCGTGGAAAGTATTCTTTTTTTTTTTTGAAAGAAAAATTTTCAGCAGCAGGTTTGTGTGATAACTTTTGACGCGACCAAGAAAAAGATAGGAATTCGCGTTCGTGTGGTAAAATTTCAAGTTTAAGCGATTGACAATGACTCACCAGAATTACGGTGATGCATGAGATTAACGCTAAAAGTTTAAGGCACAGTTTCTTTAGCCAATAAGAAAAAGCCACATAGGATAAAACGAAATGTGTGAATATTCTACAATTTTTGCGCACCAATGAAAATTGAACACATTTTTCAATAAAAACAATTAAAGGTAAGAAATCTCCACTTCTTGTTCATTGTACTCGACCTTTATTCTTTTAAACCCGTTCTCTCACCTAATATCATATTAGCAACAATATTATCGTATCTTCTCACAACTGGAGCAAATTGTAAACGTAAAGCACGAAAATTTTACGAGTCACCATGTCTTCCTCTTCAAAAGCGTCCTCCTCGTCTGAAAACTCACTGAACGAAACTGCCTGGGAGGAGGGCATGGTGACTCCACAACAACTGTCAGTAGCCGATTCTACCGTTTCACAAATCGACCCTGTTTCGATCTTCTATAATGCAACGTCTGCAACAACAGCAGCAAACGCAACCCATTCCCTTGATGCCAAAAATGATATTTCATCGGAATTAGATGCTTCTGTTGTGTCATCAAACGATAGGTTCTTCACATTTGAAAATTTGTTTGAAGATTTGGAAGCATCGAGCTCAGTTTCAGAGAACAATGGCATATTTTCTACCTCAACAGCAACAGCAGAGGCAACCACTACTACTGCTACAACACCAGCAACTGAAAACTTGAACAGAACTTCTAATAAATCAGCGTCATATATTACAACCCCACGTACAATACAGCCTGTAATGTTGACGACTATGAATACTGTTTCTTCACCTGTTTCTGAAAATGCTACGTCATCCGACACCCCTCAGTCTCCTGAAGAAAGTAGTAACGGTAAAAAGAAACAAAATGGTGGAAGAAAGAGAAAAGCCGAAAGCTTAGAGGAAAAAGAAGCGCGTGCTCGAGAGAGGTACAGGATGAATATTTTCTATATAAATATCTGATTTTGTTATTTTTGAGTGAATTCTAATAATTTTTCATTTGTAAATTTAGAGTTTTGCGAAATCGACATGCCGCTCAGATGTCTCGTGATAAAAAGCGACGACAATTAGCTGATTTGGAGTCTCAAAATGCATTATTAAAAGAAGATAATATTCATCTTTCGAAACGTATAAAACTTGTTGAAGAAGAAAATGCCGCATTATCTATCAAACTGGAAACGATATCGGCCCAACTCGCAGAAATACAATCACATCTAGCCGTATCCGAGGTGACAAAACTCCTACTTGACGGTGTTCGCGGATCAGCAGCATCCGCGACCTTGGAAAAAAATACTCTTGCGCTGAACGATGGTAAGAAGGAAAAAATAGCAATCAACAGCAACAACATCTACACAACGAATGAGAAGATATTATTCCAACCTTCCTCTAGGTCTATCATCGATCTCGCCCAAGAACCTTCCAAGAAGTCCCAGCAGCGGCACGTCAAGTTGAGGAACCTTTACGGGACGTCGACATTGCCAATTCTTTCCTGTCCGATTTGGATGTTTCCGCCTCAAATACTGAATCAACTGTTGCTGACCTTCTCGATAGTTTTCTGGACTACGACTGGTCAGCCGAGGTTCTTTCTCCAATTCAACAACAGCAGAAAACGAATGGTATATGTTAATGATGTCGTCATCTCGGAACTCGTCCATCGTTATCAACAGAGACGATGGTTGAGATCCGTAAAGGTTAAGCGTGGTCGCGGTGCTTCTAACTTGAAGCTCGTACCTCGCGATTGGAGAAAATATCCACCATAATGAACATTTTTTTTTTAGTTACACGTTTAGTAAACATTACTATTAATCAGAATATACATATGTAGATAAAATTAAAGATGATTGCAAGTTTTTAGTTTACTACTATCGAATCGATGTCAGATTATAGGCAATTATTTGTGTTATATATATTTTTAATCGTCTCAGCGTAATATTTTATATTGCGCTTCTCAATTATAAAATATTAAATTTCTATTCTATTCAGATAAATTTGTTAATGAAATACATTTAATTATTATTACATTATTACATTCAAATCACTTGAACTACTGTTGTCCAGCCTTTTCGTCTACTTCCTTTTTTTCCCCAACTATTAGTTTTAAAGAGAATTATTATTAAAAAAAGAAAAAAAAATAAATGAAAATTGCATTGTTATTAAAACACTCACAGTTCGAGTAATCTATCAGGTTTCTTGTTTTGATCGCTGTATACTGCTCCTGGAAGCATAGTTTCTATAACATCATAAATAATTGGTGGTTTCTGCTCCGTTAACATCCCTTAAAATAAAATAATCATTTTTGAGATGATGATGACGATGACTTTAGCTCAAATTGACACAGTTTTTAACTCACCTTCAGAACATGGTTTTATAAAGTCGAAAACACAATCCGGATTTCTTTGATGACGTATTTCAATATCTCCTTCCTAATTACAATATTTCAATGTACATTATCTATCAATCTAAAGATCATATTACAATAAAGAAATTAAGCTTACCTTTCGAAATACAAGCAACGATAACTTTGATTTATTAAAATATCGCGATGGTAATTTTGCGAATTGATTATTAATGTTTTTCTTGATCCAACAAAAGTTCTCTACGTATCGAAAATTCCAACTTTCCGCCATTTGAAGAATATCTGGTAAGTATTCTTTCTCTGCCCAGATAAAGAGAAATCCTTTGAGAAGAATCTTTGGTATTTCGAGTTGTCTCTAGCGATGATAATAAATAATTGGGCGCGTTTAAATTTTTATGATATTTAAAGGAAATATGAAATAAAACATGCAACTTACTAATTCATTCATAGTAATTTTTCCCGGGGACGGAGATTCTTCAGGAAGTAGGAGTGGTGGATCTATGTAAACAGCCTGGAAATTTTTTCCAAGCGTTGTGAGATCCATTGATAAGACATCTTTTTCTAAATACCTTAATTTGACGCAAATTGATAAATATAATATAATGAATTTATTTGCGTTCAATTTACACGCAATGCATCAAATTATCACCTTGAAGTATTTTCTTCGTGAACTACATTTAGATTCTTTCTTATTGAGTGTGCCCATGAACGTGGTATGGGTAATGAAGGAATTCTTACGTATGTAGGTAAACTGGGATCGATATTACTATGAAATACGAACCATCATTTGTTTTTAGAAATTCGTAACACATGACTTTTAGTTGACACGATTTGAATCAATACCTGACTTTCTTTTTGACCATAAAGAAGTTGCCATTTCTATCCTCGACTTGCATCAATTTATATCGCTGTATTATGCTTTCTCGGTCTAGACAGCGTCTGCGACGTTCCGAAGATGACTTTTCATTCTTTCGGGCGCGTTTCTTCTTATTACCAAACTCTTCGTCCCAGAAATCATCGTCCACAGCCAAATAATCACTTTAAAATAAGTAAATCACGCAATTGAGTTCACGAATCATAAATTCAAAGCAAATAGTCAAAAAATTTCTGATTCAATATATACTCTTCTTCCTCAAATTCGGCAGTGTTACCATCCTCCATTTCAATACGCCAATACTCCAAATCTTGCACATCGTCAATGTTTGGAGCAAATGTCGCGGATTTGACAGTAAAACTCGACGTTCTTTTAAAAACCTCAATTAGTTGTTCTTCTGTCAGTGCCTTTGATTCATGTATTTGACTGCTTGACGCAATTTCTTCAAGCACATTTCCGACGGGTTCTTCTGGTTTCGTGGCGGCAATTTCTTCTTGAATTCGCTCGAGTTCTTCAAACTTTTTCATTATGGCCTCAACAGACTCGTCATCCTCGACATATCCAACGTATAACGCGTTACTATTTTTTTTTACATGAATAAAGAACAGATATATTCTAAGTTAAAGGTCGTGACAAGTTAATAAGAAAAAGTGCAGCTTGCCTTAGACGCGTGAATAGTAATTCCGTAATAAAGCTTCTTGATTACAAAGTGAACACGAGATTACCTAGCAGTTGAAATTTGAGGGTTAATTGCGCGACGGCGTCGCAAGGCTCTTCCGCTCATTGATAAAAAGGTCTATTGGAGAAAGTCACCACCAAGTCACGACTCCTATCATTATCAAGTTTGCCCATTTCTTTAAATGTGCAATTCACGTGATGTATTATGCGATTATATATAGAAATAATCGGCTGTTCAAATAGATCGACAAGTGAAGTCTTGGTCAAAATGGCAGAAAACTATATGCAGGAAATAGACGTTGATTTCTTTGAATTCAGATTTTTGCAGAAAAATAAAAACAGCATAAGCATTTCCCCAGAACCTCTTGATGAAACCAAGATTTCTACATACGCTTCTTTACTTGCCATTTCAAACAAATATGGGTACTTAGTTGCAGGCACGAAAGCTGGTTTTATGATCACGAGAACACAGTCCTTGCGTCAAGCCTTTAAAAGCGAAACTTCTGAAACCGAGACAGTAGTACAGGGCTCTTTGGAGGTTAAAATCCCAAAAGGACCTGTCGAAATATTAAAAATATCAGCAGACGAACTTACTGTCTTTGCTGAAATAAAGGGTGGAATAATACAGTTATTTGACGTGACGACGCTGCTTAACGGGGTACGTGCTGGAAACATTTTAAAAATGGAAAAATTAGAGTTTACCTTTGATTGTCTTTTGTTCTAGGAAGCTTCCACATTTATTCCATATCGAGAATACTCATTTAATCAAACGATTCGAGATATCAGGCCAAATCCAGGACCTTTACCGAATGTGATGGCAATCTTATTTGATAAGGATGGATCAATCGAGTTGAAGAATTTTATAGAGGATAAAACTATAAGTACTATTTCACCTAAGAGTGTGGGAGACCAAATTAGTGCAAGTATGCATCAATTTCATGAAATTTTGCTCTTTAAATCAAGAAAATCTTGATTTCTTATATTATATTTGAGAATAGTGGCTTGGTCCCCGAAAGGAAAACATTTAATGGGTGGGACTGCCTCTGGAAAATTAATAAAATTTGATACTGATGGTTCTTCAAGCACTGGAATCCAACCACCCCCAGATTTGAGTGAAGACGGTGAAGCATACAGAGGTATATCTTCAATAATCAAAAATGTATTCATGTATCCGAGTTAATTTTAATTACCTACAATTCGTTACAATCTAGTTTTAAATGTGCTTTGGCTGGAAAAGTCGATGTTTTTTGTATCTTATTATCCGATGGTAGTCAGTGAAGATTCTGCTGCAATGTTATACCTTGTATCAAGCGAGCAAAGCCCTCCAACTTTTACAAAAATAGAAGCTACACCATGGAAATCATCGCGACAAGATCGACAGCCATATTATTTCATGGAAACAATCCGCGATTGGTTGGTTCACAATATCAATCGCACAGTTCAATTATGTATTATAGAGTGTTATGCGCTTACACATTGAATTATCTAGGGGTTCGAATATAAAAAATCTAGTAATACTCGCCGATGCTCTATCGACGGACACAGCATGCATAGCAAGCGATGATTCGGGAGAATGGGCATATTGGATTTTAGAGTCTTCAGATGCTATAGTCATGCCAATACCTAGATTTTCTAATAAATATGATGATACACTACCTTTTGGAATGGCCATTGATTTCACGGACACTGAAGAATGGCTGACCAAATTTACAGATGAAACTGTTCTAGTTCCGCCAGTTCCAATTGTTTATATTATAAATGATGAAGGCGATCTTTTGGCTTATCGCTGCTTTAATAAAGAAGCTTTTGAAGCTCAAGAGACGTGCGCGAATATGGTTGTTGCACAAAATATTCCATCAACAGGCCCTTCGGTCTTAGTTAACAAGCATTTGCCTGAACCAGAACAAAATGTAGTAGTAGCCGGCCAAGTCAAACCGAAACCATTATCTAAAATAACCGAGTCACCACCTGAAATCGGGATAACTCAAAAGAAACTGATAGCTCCGGTTAGCAGTGATAGTGATTGGCAGAAACAGGCTGCTAAATTCGAAGCTCTGTTAAAAAAAAACGAGAAAATGATTGCTGGATCCGGTGATCAAAAAAACGACACTAATAGAGGTTCCCAGTTGGCTTTTAGCACTCTTAAAGATATGCCCCCTATTCATTATAAAACTCCTAATAAGAAAGTTCTTCCTTCGCCTTCAAAAGCCACCTTGCTAAATGAAGACAATATACGGGATGTCGAGCGTTTTCTAAAGGAGGTAATATTAGTAAAATAATTGTATGTATTGCTTAAAACATATGAATATGTATATTCTCAATGAATATTATTTGTTTGTTCCTAGTTGAAAAAAAAGACAGAACAACTTAAAGAAGATTGTATTAAGCAATATCGTTCTAAGAAATATCGTCCTGACTTGCTTGTGTGGGAAGATTCAGAACTAGATTCAGATTCGGATCCAGATCAAGATTCAGAGTTGAATACTTTTGATCTTTTACCAATGCTCGAAACAAAGACCGGTCATTTATATAAAGACGTAAAATTATTGATGCAAAAATTTTTCATGGTAAAGCAAAAAGTTTCAGATCTCAATGATGATATTACAAAAGGTAAATTTTTTCATAATAATAATAATTATGTAAAAGTTATAGTTTGATAAACATAATTATTACTTTATGAACTTTTCAAGCGCACAGATTGATTGAATATGTTGGAAATGCAATGGATCCAGAAAGCAAACCAATTTTACCGGATAGATCAATTAAATCACTCAGTGATGAAGCTATGAGAAGCATTCGTGAATCTTTAGAGGTTATTAATGGATATAGATCTTAATTGAACTGTAAATATTTAAATCTAAATTTTTATATCCTATTCCAGACTATAAAAGACGCTGCCCAAGTTGTTGAAGAACGTATAATTTTACTGCACGATCTAATAGAAGAAAAAAAGAAAAAGAATATAATAGGGTAAGTATTGTATGCATGACATTAATTTATATGTTATTAATAAATATTTTGGATAAATTGATAAATTATCTACATCAGGAGATCTCCATTAGAAATGATCGAGTCGTCAATCCGTAATATAACCATTACTCTAATGCATTGGCAAAAACAATTAAACACGATGGGTGATGAGGTCCAACAACTCTACGCTGAAAAGCAGAAATATCGAAGTCAAATTGAACAACAGGAAAATATTGAACAGTCGCTCAGTTCTAGAGAGCTTGATATTTCATCGTATCTTCGATATTCACCTGAAGCTGGGAAACAAATTGACTCATATTTGAAACAAACTCATATGATGAAACGAATAGGAAATAAACTTCGAAATCGGAAAATACCGATATTGACAAGACCAGAAGAAGGAGATCAAGGAAAAGCAACAACGGCATCTTCCAAGGTTATTGGGAATATCACCACATATTCTCCAAATAATATACTGGAAACCTCCCATAAGACTCGTCCACCAATAATCAAAGCTGATTCGTTGCAAACCACTTATATAAGCTCACTTAGCATTAGTGATAATCCTACAAAAAATATTCTTCAAACCAAAGAATCGACAAGGGAAAAAAGAGCCCCATTTTATATGAAATCCAAACATGTAATGCGAGCACCCGAATCGGAAACTAAGAGCTTTTTCGATGAATCTCTGCAAAACAAATTCATTAATATGAACTTTCTTAATGGTTCACCTGACGAAACCTTAGGTTTTGGTTTACCGTCTCCTACACCATCTTCTGCGCAAGAAAATTTTCTTGCTCCCGCTACTGGAGAAACATCATATCCGCCATCTGCAACTGAAAAAAGTGTTAATAATTCATCTAACGAAACATCAGATTTTGGTACACCATCTCCTGCACTATCTCCTGCGCCAGCAAGTTTTCTTGCTTCCGCTAATGGAGAAACATCATTTCCGCCACCTGCAAGTACATCTAGCCAGATCAATACTGAAGAAAATGTTACTAACGAAACATCAGATTTTGGCACACCATCTCCTGCACCATCTCCTGCGCCAGCAAGTTTTCTTGCTTCCGCTACTGGAGAATCATCATTTCCGCCAGCAAGTTTTCTTGCTTCCGCTACTGGAGAATCATCATTTCCGCCACCTGCAAGTACATCTAGCCAGATCGATACTAAAGAAACTGTTAATAGTTCATCTAACGAAACATCAGGTTTTGGTATACCATTTCCTGCGCCAGAAAGTTTTATTGCTCCCGCTACTGGAGGATCTTCATTTCCGCCATCTACATCTAGCCAGATCAATGCTTTTGGCGCTCCATCAACACCAATATCTGGATTGGCTCAACCCACTTTCGGACAACCAGCGTTTGGACAGCCGGCTTTTGGACAGCCGGCTTTTGGACAGCCAGCTTTTGGACAGCCAGCTTTCGGGCAACCAGCTTTCGGACAGCCAGCATTTGGACAGCCGGCTTTCGGTCAACCATCATTCGGACAGCCGGCTTTCGGTCAACCATCATTTGGACAGTCATCATTTCCTCAGAATCCATCCCTGGCCCCTTTGAAGGCTCCAAGTGGTGGTGGCTTTGCAAGATTTGCCGCTAGTGGAACCAGTGGTGCGATTGGATTTGGTAAATCCCCTGATCCTAATGCTACCCCAAGTACCACAAATACCAATATGCCTAATAATCCAAGTTTTACCCAATTTCGAGGATGATTTTTACCAAAATAGATAAACAAATAACACCAAGTCATCATAATAAAAAATTTTGTTTATTGTTAGCACAATTCGCGAACGCGTATTATTTTATTTAGAGTACAGCCCGCCAAGACAGAGACATAGACATAGCCTCTTATTTAATTTATTTAATTCATTTTTTGGTTTTCGAATCCTCCGAGAATTTTTTAGATATCATAAAATATTAATATGACCAGCAATATCGAATATAAACCAGGCTTTTTACCTTTATTTAAGTTGCCACGAACTTTTTATGACCCACAAGCGAAGCATACACATTGGTGGTCACCATTTCACCATCCATCTCGAACAAATCGAGTATATATCGCCATTATTGTTGATTGGATATTAATATTATTGTTGTTCGGTTTGACTCAATGGTTCGTCTTACTCAATTTTTAATGAAAATGGTTTTTTTCTTATGCATTGTTTACAATTATTTGAATTCCCGGTTTTTTATTAATTCGATAGGTTTTTCGTTGGACCACAACCGCCAAAAGCCTATTTCTCATTAGATGATGAGAGTCTAAAACATCCGATAGTCGACGAGGTTATTTCCGCGAATAATGCCACTATTATTAATGCGGTTGGACCGTATATTTTACTGTTGGTCTTGGAGGTGTTATTCTTTTGGGATCGATGGGATGTGTATCACTTGACTACGGGACATGCTCAGGCCATTGGTAAATGCCATGTATTGATAGTTTACGCTTTAATTAACTGAATTTGCTGAATTAACGTTTATGAATGCTAAGAAAAATTGATAATTTTTGGAAAATAGCAATGTCATTATGTTTTACTTCATTTTTCTGGATTTCTGTTGGTGGTAATTATTCTTTTATTATTTGATTGTATTCTAAAAGGAAGGAGTGGAATTGATCATATTTTATTGTATAACTAATAGGTCATTTGGGACTGCGACCAACTTTTCTAACTAAATGCAAACCGGATCTAAGTAAAGTTATACCCAATGTCACTTACTACGATAATTCCATTTGCACCGAGACTTTGAGCAAATTTGAATACCAAGGGTAAGAAATAAGTTCATAAATGTAATATATTGTCGTTCCGAGTTGGTAATTTCAGTTTGAATTGGTTTTTAGTTTTCCAAGTGGCCATTCGTCAACTGCTTTTGCTGGATGGCTTTTCTTCACCTTGTATATTAATGGAAAAGCTAAGGTATATTATTACTTTTACTTGGATTAATGCTGCCAATGAATAATCTAACGAATTATATAAATATATAGCCATGGAGTGGAGGTGCGCATTTTTGGAAGGTAAAATATACCAATACTCTTTAAAAATTCAGGAAAAGGATCCTTTCCCTCTATAATGACATCCAAATGATATGATATTTCTAGGTTCTCATCCTTCTAGTCCCACTAGCATTCGCCGCGTGGATTTCACTAACACGCGTAATAGACTTTCATCATTTTCCCTACCAGATAGTACTCGGCAGTATAATTGGAATCATGTCCTCGTTAATTGCATTCCGACTAAATTTCGTGGTGAATGGGTGGTTTGTCGCACTAGGTAATAATAATGATCATATCCCGGCACATTATCATTTTCTACAAGAGATTGAGGCGAAAGAGGAAGATCATGAAAATGAGAAAAGAACGGAACGATCTTTCCTTAATGGGGAAAATAATGTTTAATATTTTTATTTCCCTTTACATCTCACCAAAAAAGAAAATTAAATTATTATTAATGTAAAATAATATTATCACCATATATTGTATTTATTTAATTTATTTATTAATTAATTTAACTTTTAAATACAAACTCACAAATATTGTAATGCAAATGAATTATACGGATTGATTCCAATCACAATCATACGGCAGAACTATCAGAATTATAAGAGATTAAAAATTTAACCTTACAGATCTCGTTTGAAGCCCCGAATTGAACCTTTATTCTAAATGTTCAACAAACGAACAAATAAGACCAAACCATGACAAGTTAAAAGTTCATGATTTTTTATTTTAAGGTTCAAATTCTTAAATTACATGATATTACACAAGATATTTATAAAGTTCAATTCATTCTATAGATGCTTGCCAAAACTATTTTAAAATTTTAGTTTCAACCACTTGGTGATTAAACTAGTTGTCACCAATTAATTCTATTGGTTAAACTCATCAAAATTTTTATAAACTCAACAATATCAAATCAAGTTTCAGATTTAAAGTTATTTAGTAAAAAGAGTTTTGGATTAATTTTAATTTTTTTGCTTTTATACACAAATGAGTTTTTATTTCTAATTCACTCTCATAATTAAAATCTAGTTGTTTATAAAAAAATGATTATTATATAAGATCTTAAATTATTAAATTTTAAAAAGTAAAAATAAAAAGATTATATTATTAAAGATAAAAATTTATTATAAAAAACTAAAAAAATAAAAAAAATTACTAGAAATATAATTAGATCTTTTTATAATTAATATACTTGAAAAAACAAAATTGAATGACTAAAGAAAGATATAATTATAAAGAGATTTTTTTAATTATAATTAATTAGTAACTAGAAAACTTAAAAAAAAATAAAAAAAAGATAACTATAAAAAGATATGATTATAGAGATCTGATTGTATTATTAATATTAAAAAAGATTTCTGAAAATTATATATTTAATCAGATCTCTCTATAATTATATCTCTTTATAATTATATTTTTTTATAATTATCTTTTTTAAGTTTTTCAGTTATTAATTAATTATAATTAAAAAAATCTCTCTATAGTTATATTTCTCTTTAATTATCTAATTTTATTTTTTAAAGTGTGATAATTATAGAAAGATCTGATTATAATTAAAATTATTATAATAATATATATTTAAAATATATAAATATAGTAATTTACAAGTTAAATTCTTAATATTATAATTAATTAATTATTATAAAAGTAAGATATAGTATTATTATAATAATATAAATTTTTTTAATTTCACAATTTTTCAAACTTTGAATCTTTGATCAATTAATTGACTTTTAGAAAGTTTAAATGATTTAATTAATATATTAATTATAAATTCAGTCATGATTTAGCAATATTTTATAATATTTTAGCAATATTTTAGAATTATAAATATATAATTAGCTCAAAAATTAATAACAATTTACAAATAGTTTATCAATAATTTAAAAATACTTTAAAAATAATTCAGAAATAAATTTTATTTATTTTTTTTATTATTTTTTTTTAAAATATCTATTTTATTTATTATTTATCTTTTTATTTTATTTTATTATTTATATTATTTTATAATTTATTACATATATCTTATCTCTTTATTTTAATAATTAAGATAATTTTTTGACTAATCTGATTTTTTTTAAGTTAAAAATTCTTTATTTTTTTATCTTCTTCAGTAATTATTTACTTTACTATAATCTTTTTAATATCAAGAATTATAGTAATTTACTTATATAATATAAGAATTTAATATTAGTTTTGATAATATTAAATATTAAAAAAATATTAAGAAATATTAAAAATTATTTATTATTTATTATTAGTTAAAAAAATTTAATTTTTATCTAAATTATCTATATAAAAAAAATTGATACAAATTTTTAAGAAATTTATAATTTAAAAACTTCTTTATATTTTATATTATTTATATATTTATATAACTTAATTAATAAGTTTTATATCAATTAGAAAAATTAGATAATAATTTTTATATAATTATATTTTTACATCAAATTATATTATATAATATATATAATATTATTGATTATATTATAGATATATTAAATTATATTTTATATAAAAAATTAAAATAAATTTATATAATTAATAAGTATAGAATTCTAATATAATATTAATTTATTTTAATTTAAGAAATATATTAATAATATTATTTTATTTAAATATTTAGATAAAATTAGAAAATTAATTAGTATTTAAATAATAAGAAAATAATTAAATATTTTATAATATCAATTTAAAAAATATTAAAAAGAAATATATAATTAAATCTTTTTATAATTATATTTTTTTATAATTATCTTTTTTTATAATTACTTTTTTTTTAGATTTTCTAGTTTATAATTAAAAAATCTTTTTATATTTTTTTTTAGTTATTTAATTTTATTTTCTTAAATGTAATAATTATAAAGAAATCTAACTATATTTTAATAATTATAAATAAAAAATTATTATTATAGTTAGATCTTTTTATAATTATTATACTTAAAAAATAAAATTAAATAACTAAAAAGAAATATAACTATAAAAAATTTTTTTAATAATTAAAAAACTTAAGAAAATTAATTATAAAAAAAATAATTATAAAAAAATATGATTATAAAGAGATTTAACTATATATATTAAAATAAATTTTTAAAAGAAATAAAAAATTTAAAATAATAAATAATAAGATATTATTATTATTTTTAATTAAATAAATAAAAATAAATTAAAAATTAAATTAGATAATATTTATAAATAAAAATACTTTTAAAAAATTAAGTAAAGAAAAAATGATAATAAAATTTATAAATTTATTAATAAATTAATAAAATATAATTTTAATATTTTAATTTTTTATTATTTTTAATTAATATTAATAAAGTATATAATAAATTTATAATAGAATAATATTAATAAAATATTATTTATTAAGTTTTTTATTATCTATTAATATTAATAAAAATAATCAATCATATTATTAGTTATTTTTTTACAGATTTTAAATTTATTCTTTTTATAATAAATATATTTTTTATATATATTATATAATTTATATTATTATTAAAAATAAAATTATTATTATATTGAAAAACTTTACTTTAAAAATAGATATTACTTTAATTTAATTTACTTTAGTAAATATTTAATTATTCAATAATTTTTTAGTTTTTTTAGATATAAGATAATAATATATCTTTATAAAAATATTTAGATAAAGTATTATTTCTTTTTTACTTGAAAGATAATATTATAACTTAATTATAATTTTCTGATTAGCTATTGCAATTAATTATATTTTTTGATTAGCTGTTATAAGTTATAATTAATTGAAATAATATCTTTAGTCTTAACTAAAAATAGTATTATAACTTGATCATAATTCTTTAATTAACTGTCATAATTAATCATAATTTTCTAATTAACTGTCATAAATTATAATTAATTAAGATAATATCTCTAGTCTCAACTACTAATTATAAACTTTTAAAAGAAATTTACTTATTATAACTAATCTTTTATTCTTTTCTTTCATAATAATATCTTTTTATTTAATATTCAAATTTCTTTTTCAAATAAAAAATATATTTATTATAAATAATAAGAATTAATTCTATTTCAAGTATTAATAAAATTTGTTCTATTATTTCTTTTTTATATCTTATTATTTATTATTCTAAATTTTTCATAATCTTTAAAAATTTATTTTTATATATGATAATATTTTTTTATTTATAACTATTAAAATATATATTTCCTTTTAATATTTTTTAAACTGATATCTCAAAATATTTAATTATTTTTCTGTAATTTATAAATTAATCATTTTTCTGATTTTTATATACTTTAGCAAAATTATATTATTAATAAACTATTTAAATTAAGAGAGACTAATATTATTTATTCCTGATTTCTGCTATATTTATTATTTACATTTCAATATAATATCTTTATCATTAATAAGTTACTTATATTTTTAGTATTAATTATGATAGAAAAGTGAAAATAAATTATAATATAAATAAAATTTAGTCAAAAAATAAATTTTTTTAATGATATCTAATTTTGTTAAAATATAAATTATATATATTACTTGCTTACTTGCTTTTATTTTATTATTACTATTATTTAATCTTGTTATTTATTGTATTTGAAAACTGTAAATATTTGTTTATTTTTCAAAAGATCATTCTAAAATTAAATAATTCTTTCACAAAATATAACAGATCTTTCTTTTTCATCTTTATTAGTCAAAGATATCAAACTCATAAGAAATATTAATATTAAATATATAAATGATATCAAAAATATTAAAAATATTGAATATATAGAAAATATAAAAGATATTGAAAATATTGAAAACATACTTACAAATTCACTTGTCAAAATATCTAAAGATTTACCTACAGCTCCAAAAAAATTGATGATTTTAGAAATTCTCTTTACAGAATTAGCAAGCATGCTAGAAGTGCTAAATTTATAATAATATATTATTTTTAATATCTCTTTTATTGTTTTTATACTCTTTATATTTTTCTATATAAGAGTTGTGACAAGTAAACATATACATATTTTTTTCCCCTCTTTTCTCTTCATTTTCTTGTCTTGAGTTATCTTCTTATTTATCAAATTTATTTTCTTTCTTCTTATCTACAAAAATTTACTCTGTAATATCTTTAAGATGTATTCGATTTGTATTCTTCCTATACATTCCGTATAATACATCTCCTTCCAGATGTAAAATTATAAACACATCCGGGATGGTCCATGTGATATCATTATTATCATTATTAAAACTAGGAAATGATGAATCATTGCGATAAATTTTTTTTAATTGGTTTATTTATTTATAACCTGTCATGCAGAATAATATATAGTCCTTCCGTCCTTCCGGAAAATAGGAAATATAAAATGATGTAGGATTGATGTGATATGGCATAAGATTTTAATTAATTGAATGTATACCTTGCCCAACATCAATCATTTTCCTGTGGTGAGGTCGAAATCGACGCATCGCGTATTGCAATACACACTTGCTTATTACCGAGTCTTGCCTAATATCTTCGCAAATCGTCCATTTCGGCAATGGGAAACCTGCGAAAGACACCGGCGAATTCGCCTAAAGGGGTAAATACCAGCTGAAAGAACACGGTAAATAATTCACCATCTTCTCACAGCCGCACATTTACCAACAAATAATTTTTTTATTCTCTTGATGAATCAAAAAATTAACGTTCGCTTCGTATCACATTGACTATATTGTGATAAAGGGATAAAATCGAGGTAAGGTTTTATAGGTATAATAAACTGACATGTATGTATTCGAAATAAAAAATTTTTGTAAAATAGACTGAAATTTTTGCGCCACATGTTTATGATCAAGGTGTTAATTCCTTGTGTAGAATGCTAACATGCGTATCTATCAACCTCCTTGATATATTTAATATCAACATTACATATTGTTCTGAGTTATCTATGTCTCATCATAAAACTGATTTGGCAATTCACGTGTCGCATTGCCTGTTGATCTGGGAAAAAAACGCGTTTTACTTCAACATTCACCATTCGTAAAAAAAGGGGGAAATAATGGAAAGACGAAACAGATTACAGCAAAATCACATTTTCCAAATCTCTAACCAGTTTCTTCTAAGTTCCCCAGTTCCACAACACGTCCTTAGTTCCTCGCAAACGCTCAGAGATTCCATATTTGACCAAACACATTCGGATTTCAATAATTTAAATTCCAATTTACTCTCGTCTTCTCAGGCTTTCTTGAACGTTTCTCACGTCGTTCAAAGTCAATCAACAAGACAAGATCTAAGAGGCGAAGATACATCCAATGTTCAGTCTATTGCACATCGAAATTCCGCTTTCTTGCCACCAGTATTTGGCAGTACTACTGGTCACGTACAAAAAAGTTTTGCTAATATTATGCCACAAATTTTACGACCGGTTGCTTTGCCTGCTTACGATTCACCAACACCCTTATTTCCGCAGCTAACCACAAATACCACCAATTCTAATGAAAAGATTCAACTAGCTACATCATCTTCAGTCAATATACACGAATTCGAAGATTCAGAAGGTTCCTTGACATTAGATGATGAATTAATATTGTCAGAAAATGAAAATAGTAATAACAGTAACGACAACAACGATAACAACGACAACGACGACAACAAAAACAACAACAACGACAACGATGATGACAGCAACGACAACAACGACAGCAACGACAACAACGACAACAACGACAGCAACAACAGCAACAACAACAACGACAACAACGACGACAACGACGACGACGACGACGACGACAATAATAATAATAATAATAATAACACTTTATCGGAGGAAAGATCGAACATTAATGATATGCAAAATGAATCGGTTAAACCAATTGTTCTTGGAAAACTTGAAAAAGAAAAGAAAGTACATCTTCTTAAATGGGGGTTAAAACTTGTTGATGTACCAGGATATGTAAGTATTAATATTAATAGTTCTAGTAAAGAATTTAATGCTTACTTATTATGTAAAACCCGTTTTCTTGATAGATTCCTAACAGCAACTCATGGTTTGTAGTAAATGGTATTTGCACGATTGCATCAGGAGATCAAATTGTATGTAACATAAAAAATAAGTTGATTTACAATAATTTACTGAAATATGTAATTTTTATCGTAGCGTTGGCATAGCTCACCAATACGTGACAGAATAACACCGAATGAAATTCTAACTGTATCAGGCAAAATATATTATCTGGATGGAGATTTGAATGTGGAAGCCATGAAAGAAGATGGTGAATAATCAATTTCAATTTCTAAGCTAAATTCTTGGATTGAATTTTCCTTTATTAGATAACTTTAATTTTTTTGGCTATTTTAAAAGGATATTCGGAAAGTTTTTGCGAGGAATTCCTTCATGGCTTTCCAGATAATTGGAAAGAGTTGTTGGTGGGTGCGCTCCCAGAAATTGAAAAATTTTACGAAAATACGGCTGTTGAGACGATGGAGGCTGATGAAGTTGATGGAAAGGATGAAGGAGGTGAAGTTTCAGTGCAAAATGAACTGAAACGAAAACGCGAAGATGATGATGATGATGATGAGCCAGAAGAACCAGGCCATTCGACGCCGCCTACAACCCAGGCGGCTGCCTCTCTTGCCGCCCATTCAGGCGAAATTTGCCTGACTAGATCCGGCAGGAAGGTAAAACCTCCTGGGGCATGGTGGGCAGTCAACGGATGCGACGTGATTCACGAGTCAAAGAAGAAAAGGACTCGTAAAACGCCTCGAAAAAAGGAATCAGGTTAGAAGTTTTATCATACAATATAAATAAATTTTACTAAAAATCATTATTTAATTTTTTTTCTTTATTTTCATTAGGAAATATCTCTTCTGATTCCAAGAAAAGAAATAAAAGATCAAAAAAATAAACGAATTTTAAAACTTTAATCTCTTTAAGTGTTCTATTACCGATTTTTTGTCTTGATGTGGATTGATACTTTTCTACTAACATCTTAGTTTTTTTGAATAATGATATTTAAAGAATTTTGATTCATTTCCCATTGAAATAATCTACAAGTTTCAATCAATGACTTCCCAAGTAAAATTAGTTTAAAAACTTTACAATTTAAAAACTATAGTATAAAATATTTATTTTCTTCTAATATATATGTATATATAGATAAATACAATTTACTAATTCCATCATAGTTCATCATCCATTATCCTGCTGGATACTCTTTTCTCATATCTCTTATATCTTTCAATTTACTGATTGAAAGTTAAAAAACCAAGATCTGCTGCCTGTCGATAATTTGCTTCGAATTTTTTTACATAATTATTTATTAGTTCAAGCACAATTACATGCGTTTCCTGTATAAAGAACCGATTTCTTATAAAAAAAACAGCTTTATCAATGTCCTTTATTTGATGATACTACTGATAAATGTAACCAAGCATCTATTCTCCATAATTATCATTACTTTTCTTCTTCCCAATTCGTCTTATTTCCAATTCCGTATGAATGCAATGCAAAAGCCAGGTAAATTGGGATAATACCTTTTTGGGAAAGTACATCCATAATCTATTTGATCTACAAAATAATAGGAAAATGCTCATTGAATTGTAACACATTAGGTATCTCAAAATGGTTATAGTTTGTATAGTAAAAGTATTTAACGATTTCGCGGGAAATTTGCAGGTCTTTTAAAACTTTTCACGTTGAAATTCGGTGTCAAAGGGGTTTGTCACGTCATAATTTGCTAGAGTCTCCTTTGTAAGGGACACTATATCTAGCCCAAAATGGAGTCCACATCGAATACAAACAATTCTTCACTTCCACACACATTAATATTAGCTATAAGCACTGGTTCATTTTTTGCAGGGCTCGTAGGATCACGATGGATATTCAAAGATAAATGTAATAAATTAGATTTTATTGTCAAATTACTTGCATCTTCATTATTAATTCCATTCAACTAAAGTTTCAGAAGAATTACCAGCAGATAGTGCTGCCACCCTAGCAAAAACGGATAAAGCAAAAATACATCGTATCGCACGTTTAACAGCTGTGAAAGCTTTGGCCGCTGGCACTGTTTTATGTTTGTCTGGCGCGGCGGTGATGGCTTTTGGCGTGGGTACGATGTTGGGTGTTAGTAGTGTAAGTTTTCATGTGAATCCTGATAATCTGTAATGAAAAATTCATTCAATTGACCCTGCCTTTATCATAGTTAAAAGAATTTCATATAAAAATGAAAGAGATAGTACCTAAATATAATAAGAGTATTACGGGAGTTGATTTTGGAGGATTGAAAACTAATCCTACAACGAAACCCAATCTTGAAGCTGAAGAAAAAGAAGATTGGATTACGTTAAGTAAAGAATGGGAGAAATATGTGTTGGATAGAGACGAATATTTAAGGAAGAAGGAGGAAAAGGAAGCACAGAAGTCATCTTGGTGGAAGAATTTAAAATAATCCGATGAATAAAGATTAACGTTAATATCAATATGTATAAAAATCGGATTTATTGACAAAGGCTACCAATCACTATCGTCATTACCGACGACTACATTGTAACACCAAAGAAACTACTTTGAGTTTTATATAGCTAGCGATAGCCTGAAATCGTCATCGCTTACTTTTTACTCCCCTACCTTCTTTCTTTGCCCACTCATTCTTTCCTTCTCTCAAATCCCTTATTTATTTCTTACCTACCGATTTATCTATCTCTGGGTTTCTTGCTCGTTGTTTTTAGATTAATTGTTCACAAGTTGAACTTGTGCTCAATCAAATAATATAGAATCTAATCTGGCTCAAAAAATATACAAATCTATTTTCTTGTTCTTTAAAAAAAAATGAGAGCAGAAGTGTCGCTCGGCATCTCAAAAACTCTAAAGTTACTATTTATTACATATGTTGTGTTTTCGGTTTTATACACTGCAAATTATTTATACTCTCTATATACGTCCAACGATGATCTAAAAAATACAAACACGCTACCGAGGGATGTTTTAGAGCTGAGTAATAATAATAATAATAATAATAATAATAATAATAATAATAATAATAACAATCAGACTATAGGCTCGGGAAAGGATAGAATATCATGGGGTAATTAGCATTTCAAATAAATATTAATGTTGATTTGATTCGATTTTGATATTGATCTGTTTGATCAAAGGTGCTGATGATTCTTCGAGCGAGGAATTTTTCCTGTCCAAAATATTCTCGGAGGCGTTACAACCATCACAAGTGATTCCTTATTATTATCGAGCAGAAGAAAATATCGAAGCGGAAGACATCACAATCACAACATTAGTCACCCCAGATAGGTTCCCTGTATTTAATCGTCTTGTCACCACGTATAAAGGTGCGAGTTACATTTATGTTGTCTAAAAAAAAATTTTATTTATCACTAATTTTTAGGATATTTATTTCTTTCCTTTGTAAAGGTCCTATCTCTGTAACAATACATGTGAATGATAACCCAGAGACACGAGATCAATTACTCCAAGAGTTAGAAGACCTGTACACCACAAATCCATTGATGAAAAAATATGTGGACGTACATTTAATAATTGATAAATTTGATCGCCAATTTAACATGTGGCGAAATGTGGCGAAATTCTTTGCGAGAACGGAATACATAATGATGTTAGACGTGGATTTTTTCTTGTGCACGAATTTTCGCACTAAAATTTTAAATGATCCCACCATCATGGAAAAATTACGCGCAGGCAATACTGCTTTAGTTGTACCGGCATTCGAATATGTCAATCTCGAAGAGGGTAAAAACCCAGAAAGATTCCCGAAAACAAAAGAATCATTAATCGAGGAAGTGCTTTCTGGCCGATTGAATATGTTCCATTCGTCCTGGCAGAAAGGACACGGCCCCACAAATTACAAAAAATTTTATGAGGCTGATGAGATATATATGGTCACAGATTATCAATTTAGTTATGAGCCTTACGCTATTTTTCCAAAGAACAGTCCATGGTATGTGTCTGCTATGATCGTGTTGATCTTTTGAAGGGAAACTGGAAGAAAGTTAATTTGTTTTGGCTTTATGATTTAGGTGCGATGAAAGATTCATTGGCTACGGAGCAAACAAAGCCGCATGTTTATTTGAAATTTATATTTCCGGTATTAATTATTGGGTGCTACCCGGCGACTTTTTAATACATCAAACGCACGCATATCCGGAAAATGCACGAAAACAAGAGGTAAAGAATAATAAATTCATTTATTTGCAACAAATCGATCTTCTTTCTAACATTGAAATAATAATGATAATATTGATCTCTAATCACAACAGCGAAAATACAATAAAAGATTATACGATCATTTCCGCGAAGAAGTCTGTTTTCGATATGCACGCAGTTTCATCACCAATAATGAATGGGATGCCGAAACATCTCGGAATTTAAAACAAGAATGTCAAAAGATACGGGGCTTTGATCAGGCGATAAATTTTTTCGATTCTGTTGATTCGAATTAATGTAATTTTTGTACATTGAGTCAAAAAATTAGACAATTTAATCTAATCTAATCTAATTCAATCAACGAATTAATCCGACGATTATGGTCGGCTTGTATTAAAATAATTTATTTATTTAATAAAATTCTAGATTATAATGATGATTATTATGTGATATAAAAGAATTATACCAATACAGTTGATACAATTTCTTATTGTAAGCATAAAAAATTCATTTTTATGCATTTGGATAGTATCCACGATTTAATTATAAGAAATTTTGATAATTTTGTCCAAATGATCTACATGATCTGCATAATTTCGATCAAAAATCTGAAACGAAAACTTCAAGCCCATAAAATCCAAATCTGAGTTGTCCTATTAAAACACAAATCGAAAGATGAGGACTATTTTAGGCAACAATATCCAACTAACATGATTGGTTGGATTTGACTGACGATAATCTTGGAATCATGTTTAAAAATTTTAAGAAATTAGTAATATTTCTTTATATCGATATAAATAGATTAGTAAGTTAGTGATACCTAAAAAAATCAGCAATTTCATGATTATAAATCACACATCTTGATTTTTAATTGATCAGAGTTTAATTATCAGTAGCTCATGATTTTTAACATTCTGATTAATTTACAAAAAATATATTTATTAAATATATTTCATAGATATACAGGAAGTGGAAAGAAATATTAGATATTTCACACATTTTTAAATTGATTTATATTATTGAATCTTGTGTTTTTTTTGATAATTATTTTATAATAAATTATTTATATATAGTGATGATCTATAATCAAAACAAATCTTATCTTTATATAATATATCCAGAAGTTATAAAGCTATGTGCAATTTTCTCTCAAAAAATTGCTCTTTAAATTTTACTCATGATATGCTATGAAAAAAAATTAACAGAAAGTCAGAAAGATGAAATTATTATTATAAAAAAACTTGGTCATACATATATTGAGATCTTTAAGACTGTAGATTATTTTATGATTCATATATTAGAAGTATATGAGTTTAAAAAATCATTTAAAAAATAATCAGATCATCCATGAAGAGAGAAGATAAAAGAAATATTGAAAGATTTTTTTTTAATTAATTTTATTTATTTATAAAAGATTTTAATATTTATTTATTTATAGAATGAATTAGATATTTATATTATGATTCTAATACTTTATATAATTTGAGAAAGAGTTTAATAACAAGAATTTTTATTTTGAGTTACTAAAGTTTTGAGATAGTTACATGCAGATTTATTATAAATTGGTAGATAATCTGATCATTTTTTAGATAATTTTTTAAGCTTATATGCTTCTAACATATGGCTTACAAAACAAACTACAGCCTTAAAAATCTTGATATATGTGTGATCAAGTTTTTTTATAATAATAATTTTACCTTTCTAACTTTCTGTTAATTCTTTTTTATAGCATATTATGCTATAATTAATCATCTATTTATGTAATATAGTAGATATAATATAATATATAGTACAGTTATAGCATATGATGTAATAATCACTGATCACTACTAAATTGAATAAATAAGAAATTTATATTAATTAATCTTATTATAATTAATTCTATTTTTAATTTATATTATTATTCATATTTAGTCTTATTCTTTTATTAATTTAGCTATATACAGTACATAATAAAAAAAGCAGATATTTTTTTTTGATTATATTCAATGAATATTTATTTAATTTATATAAAATTTTAAATATATATACTTGATAATC